CACCCGGCTTTCGTCCACTAGCATTACATCATCACGAACAACATACACCAAGGGATATCCTCTTGTATGTTCCTGGTAACCTCATCCATTACCAAGGCAAAGAGATACGGGCTTAAGGCTGACCCTTGATGAAGTCCAATTTTAATCGGGAAGTAATCTGTGTTATCATCGTTTGTTCGAATACTAGTTACAACATTATTGTACATGTCCTTGACGAGGGTCACGTAAGAAATTCCAGGGATTTATCATATAACCATTTATCTTTCCAAAAAAAAAAATTTTTGTCCATTCCCAATAATCATTTTTCTACCTTGAAGGTAAACATCTCTAACTTTTAACAAGTCTGACCAAATAGCAGAATCTGACTGTGTGTGTTTCACAGTACATACAAAATCATGTTTGAGGTATGTATTTATATTTTATGATTTCTTGCCAAATCCCAGATTTAGTTTCCAATCTCCACAACCATTTGCAGAGCAAGCTAATATTCATTTTTCTAATATCTTTGATTCCCAAGCACCCTTTTTTCTTGCTCTTACAAATTTTGGTCCACCTAATGAGGTGATACTTTTTCTTTGTTCCACCCCCTTGCCACCAGTAAGCTGATTCGAATCAAAGCAGTGAGTTCAGTCGATTGCAGCACTGTGAATGAAACGAGTGCTCATGCAGATCTTGTAGTCGCCAGAGAATGAATAAAGCTCCCTTTTTTAGTTTCCAGATGTGAAGATTTTGCTAGGGATAAAAAAATGCCTACCCTGTGGGGGCAGAGTTGACCGACGTGGAAATTTGATACCTACTTACGCCGTCTTCTTAGCATCATCAGAAGGATAAAGTGCAAGGAAAAGGATATGCTGATTCTTATGGTGTGGCCATGATCCTTATTCGACGACCCCCTTTATTCCTCCCCTGGTTCATTAGTCCAAATATATACTGTTCTTGGTTTTTGGGCTGGGAACAGATGCGGTCTTTCTTGTTTTTTTATGCATTCGAGGATTTCCATTATTGAGTTATTGGTTTGTGTTCTCGGTTTATATTCCCTTTTTGATGGGTCAATGATATATGTGTTTTCAGGGACTTGGACAATTTAGGTAAGACAACGATTTTGCTGAAGATCAATGGTCACTGGTGAGGACGCCAGTGTCATCAGTCAGCCACACCCTTGGCTTCAACGTCAAGACCATCAAGTATCAACAGTGTTTATTCCTTTCTCTGCATAATTAGCATATGAAATATCTGGACAAGAACTCCTCTTTTAGTTACACTTACATCATTGTAATTCTATTAGGCATAAGCAAATTGCTATTTTATACTAAATAAATAAAAGTATTCTGAAGCATCCCATAATATCTAGACCGGGCAACCTGGACACATGCAGTGCTAACCATAGACCATACAGGCATACAACATCTCATTTTGAGCTGATATATTGTAATTTCTGTATCATTTGTTTTTAGGATAACTCTCTGTTAGATCATTTTCTGTTCACTGCTGAAGTATGCTCTAGATCTTGTGCCTTTTCCAATCTCCCTGGCCATGTTAGTCTTACTTGATCCCAAAGATAATTTTCCATGACCTTTTGTGATGCAACCTTAAGATTTGTAAATTAGTTATGTGGCAGTCATGATTTCAGCAGCCTAGGTAGAAAAATGTGCACTACTGTGTGTGGCTAGCTAAACAGCAATTAGTAGCTGACAATGAAGGTTGTCCACTTACTCCACCTCTTCAGAAATGGCATCTCTGTTTGGTGCTGCTTACATAGAAACGCATTTTAACATGAGAGGAAATGCTTATTTTTTGATAGTTTGTTCTTCTAGCATTAGAACTGTATTTTTATTGGCATCAATGCCAGCATAAATAGGCTAAACTATGGCAAGCTACCATTGAAGCAGTGCTGTCTTGAGTTCATGTCGTGTGGGGTCAAATGCACAACTGTAGGTTCATTATAGTGCAACACTGACACTGGAAATGGAAGGCATGATCCAATAAGAATTCATCCAAAAAGTGGTTTAGCAGTTGCATTACAATCGGCTTATACTAGAAAGCTGTATGGTTTATGTTAACTTTGCATGTGTGGGGATTGTAATATAACAAAATTTCTTTGGAGTACTTGTAGTTAGTACAAAATAACAATTTTAGATACAAATGTCCGATGAGTAGTTGTAGTTATGAAATTTTAGATGTGAAAACCAATTCCTCATGAGTTTGAACTTTCAAAGAAGTTGAAATTTTGCCAAAATTTTTGTTGTTTTACCTACATGAACATATGCTTGCAGTACATTGAACACTACGAGTATGATGCATCTACACAGGGTGACGAAAAACAAAACACTCAGTGACCATTTCATAGTTTGCTCTTGAAGCATGAAAACTACATTCTGGCATCAATCTAACTGTAAGAAAAGCTGAAATGTCGCAACCTGCCACGGTAGCAGTGGTGTCATAAGTTGGTTTCTGGGAGCCAAATGCATAATTTTAGATACCCCACTAGACATGGAAGGAGTTTCCTGAATTTCTTGGTGTTCTTTAGTTGAGAAATTTAAGAAAATTTCTTCAGAGCACTTGTAGTTACTACAAAACATTGGTGTATTCAGTTCAGGCCCTGTGGAGTCAAATGCACAACTGTAGATACATTATAGTGCAACACTGACACTAGAAACGGAACACATGATCCAGTAAAGAGTCATCCAAAAAATGGTTTAGCAGTTACGTTACAATCAACTCAAATTAGAATGCTCTATGGTTTTTATTAACGTTGCGTATGTGGGGGGTGTAACTTAAGAAAATTTCTTATGAGTACTTGTAGTTCAAAACTGTAGTTTTAGATACATGTATTCAAATTCAATGTGTACTTGTAGTTATGAAATTTTCGATACATACGGTGATCTGCATCTTTACTGTACCAAAAGCACTTTTCATAACCCCCATGAGTGTCAAGAAGTTGAAAATTTGTCAAAATATTTGTTGCTTTCACCTACACAACCATATGATTACAGTACACTGACTGAACATTACAAGTGTGATGTATTTTACACAATCATTTGAGATTTTGCTCTTAAAGCATAAAAATTGTATTTTTAGCATCAATGCCAGCATAAGCAGGCTAAGAAAAAAATGTCACAAACTGCCATGGCAACAGTGGTGTGTTAAGTTGGTTTCCTGGGAGTCAAATGCACAATTTTAGATACTGCATTACTAACGAAAGGTGTATTTCGTAATCCCCTTTGGTGTACTTTAGTTGAAAAGTTCTGCGATAGTTAAGATAAGCTCGGTCGGCTTGATTTACTGCAGTTATTAGACCATATAGGTTAATACCTAGGCATGTCTTCCAAAATTTGAACTGACTGTTGAAACTCTAGGTGAACTGGTGATGAATGAAAAATGCTTTGGATACAGTAATGATGGGTAACCAATTGCTGCTGGATGATAAAATTGATGCTTTACATTGATAATTGTGACGACTGCAGAGGTGAGCTGCACAACACCTGTTCGTTTGTCTGAATTCTGGATGATTTGGAGAAATGCTGGAAGAATTTGTGAGAGAAAAATACTGTTCCGGATGAAAAAATAAGCGGATCTAAACCGAGTTTAAGGGCACGCGAACGGCCCTGAAAGAAGAGGTGGAAAAAAAACAGTTTGGTTCACGCTGGCCAATTTTACTGCCTTTGAACTGAATTCACTATAGAACGAGCAACATTGCTGCGTATTGACTTGTTACTGTTCATTCACTTCCGTCTTGAGGTGTAAACTCTTGAGGCTGTGTTTAATTCGCAAATTTTAGGAATTTGGCTACTGTAGCACTTTTATTTTTATTTGGCAATTAGTGTTCAATCATTGACTAATTAGACTCAAAACGTTCGTCTCGCAATTTTCAACCAAACTGTGCAATCAGTTTTTTTTCGTTTACATTTAATGCTCCATGCACGTATCGTAAGATTCGATGTGATGCAGAGAATTGCTGGAGTTTCGTGATTAAGCTCTGATGCCCAAACAAGCGGGACATTCAGGCCTCGATTAGTTTGTCTTTCTAAAGTTTACTTCATATCTCATCGAATATTGAACATATATATATTAAATATAGACTAAAAATAACTAAATACGATTAATTTGCAAGACGAATCTTTAAGCCTAATTAGGCCATGATTTTAATAATGTGCATGTGCTAATAACAGATTAATTAGGCTTAATAAATTCATCTCGTGGATCGCTGACGGATTTCGTAATTTATTTTTTTTATAGTATCGAACACTTTACCTCACATCCGATCCCACGTGACATTTCAAAAATTTACGTCCCAAATTTAAACAAGGCTATTATTGTAAACTGGTGGTGCTTGCTTCAATGCAGCCTCGAGATTCGACGAGCCAGCAGCATTACTGCTAGTGGGCTGTCTTCTCTAGTGATTTGGTTTATGTTTCGCCGGGGTGAGCAGCAGCGCCTATTGTCACTGTGCTCAGAGATTAGCAGGAGTTCATGTGCCCTTGTCACTGATTCACTCCTGTGTTCAGATATTAGCAGCGTCTGTTCATGTTCAGATATTTTCATTATTAGCTCGAATCGCCTTTTCCCGTAGATCCGTGGTGATTAGTGGCTACTTTTTCATTTATATGTAAATGATCGTTCATTCAAGAACAAAGTGGCAACCTTATGCCTCGATTCGCACTCAAAGCAAGCAACTTTTCAGAAGAGCACAATCATTTGCAGCACCAAGAAGCACCTTTTTTTCCATTGATTGACTGATGATTAACAACTTGACAGGGGTAACAACATCCATCGATCCCAGGCCCAGTTCATACTGATTGATGCACGGGGCTGAAGGACGAGGACGAACACAGCACTAACAACATCAAAGGAGCGAGCTTGTGATCAAAAACACAGATGGGCAACAACAACGACAAACACGAACACACGGACACGACGAACAAGATAAACCCTCTTAACTAGGGTGACACAACACGGTAGCAGTAGCGAACAAGATAACTTGGCCGCGCGGGCCCCACCGCTCAGTTCCTCCAGTTCCCATCGGAGTTGCCGTAGCCGCCGCCACCGCGGTTGCCACCACCGTAGCCACCGCCACCGCCGCCGTAGCCACCACCGCCACGGCCACCGTAGCCACCGCCGCCGTAGCCGCCGCCGCCACTGCCGTAGCCACCTCCATCACGGCGCCCGTATCCGCCACCGCCTCCACGGCCGCCGCCGTACCCGCCGCCACCCCCGCCGCCGCGGGACTGGGCCTCGTTGACGGTGATGTTGCGGCCGTCGAGCTCCTTGCCGTTCATGCCCTCGATGGCGCTCCGCATCGCCTCCTCCGTCGAGAAGGTGACGAAGCCGAAGCCACGGGACCTTTGCGTCTCCCGATCCAGGATGATCTGCGGGGGGGAAGAAGGGGAAAAGATAAAGGAGATCCGGATCAGTCAGGGAAAACCTTCACTCGAGCAGGTCAGACTCAGATCTGAACGGAACATGGACGGATCTGAGCGGAACAGCGACGGACGGAAAGGACGAACCTTGGACTCGAGGACCTCGCCGTAGGTGCTGAAGGCGGTGTGGAGGGAGTTGTCGTCGGTGGCCCAGGCGAGGCCGCCGACGAAGCAGCGGTACTCAACGTCCGACGCCGCCATCTCTTCCGCTCACCCACGAACCCGAACTCAGGAGAACCTCACGAACCCGAACCCGAACCCGAACCGGAGGGGGAGGAGAAGCCAACCCACCTCTGAGAGAGCACGGAGAGGACGAGGCCCTCCCCTGCGCCGCCTTTATAGCCGGGGACGGGGCCGCCGCGGCCGTCCTGATCCCATCCCACGGCGCCCGTGACGTCGACGCCCAAAGGAATATGCGGGGGATCGGGCCGCCCGCTGCGCTACGCGCACACGCTCACACGTTGCGTGCCCCGCCTGGGGACGGCTTGTTGGGACCCGGAGCAGGTGGCCCTGACTCTGACGAGGGGAGCGTGGGGCCCAGTGTGACTGACCTGACCCGGTTCGGCCGCTGCATTGCCGGCCTGTGCAGTGCAGCAGGCCACCGAAAATATCTCGCGGGGCGAAATGCCGCCTCTGCCCTCGGCAGCAGGCAAGTCCAGGGCACTGTTTGGTATATCTGAAAAGCGTTTTCCATTGCACAAGTAGAGTAAAAGTGACGGTCAAAATAAACAGGGTTAATCTAGCTTTTGCTTTTTAGTATAAATGGGAGCTGTGAAAATAAATGTGGTCAGAATAAGCTACTGAAAAACATAGCATTTGGTTATTTATTTCAGCTTATTTTAGCCATAAACAGCTTATAAGCTGTAGCAAACAGGCCTAAGGTTCCTTGCCCGCTCTGCGGCGACGGCAAGCGGTCGGGCAGAGTGGATATGGACGGACGTGGCTGACGACGTGGGTCCATGACAGCAGTGGGAGAAGCCAAGTCCACGGGAGTACGGGACACGACACGACAGCACGGAACGGGATGGGACTTGTTTGCTTCGCTGAAAAAATAAGTCACAACACTGATTGATTTGTTGTGAGAGAAAAATATTGTTCTGGCTAAAAAAATAAGCTGAAAAGTACGGATTATAAGAGAAGCGAACAAGACCATGACGGGACGGAACGGGCGAGTGAGTGTCAGTGTCTTCTGGAAATGGCCTCATCTTCCTTTCATTTCGATGATGAATGATTGAATTGGAAAAAAAGTACCCCTCTGTTGCAAATTATAAAACCACTTTGTTTTTTGTTTCATCTATTTTACTATTGTCGGTGTTTTCGGACCACCGACTAGTAAATTTGTATTTGCGCGTCTGGCTCGGATGGTGTGCTCGGAGGACACAAGGGTTTATACTGGTTCGGGCGGAACGTCCCTACGTCTAGTTCGCTGCTGCTTGTATTACCAGCACTTGGTTTGCAGTAGGGGTTACAAACAGACGAGAGAGGGAGAGAATCCCAAGTCTCTAGTGGAAGGAGTGAACGGGTGCTAAGAGCTCGCTTGCCGCTTAGCCATGAGCTCGTGTTGTGCTCTTGTGTCCAGATCCTCCTTCATGGGGCGCCTTTCTTTCCCTTTTATAGACAAAGGGAAAGCGCGGGGTACAGAGAAGGAAAAGTAGAAGAATTAGAGAGAAGAAGGCTTCTAGGGTTGCCGAGTCATGTTCCTTCATGTAGGCTCCGTCGATCCTGTAGATGTCAATAGGGAAGGCTTCACGTCGCGGCTCTGTACGTCACTAGCGCCATGCGCAGGCGTCATCTGCTAGTCATGGCGTTCGACTCCGTCCCGGCGGACGTCGTGGTGAATTGACGCGTCTGTCGGCATCCGTACGAGGATTAGACAAAACAGCACTGACACGCCCGACATTGTTCTTGATGTGAATCCTCAGGTATGGTCCATCATGGCCACGGGTTACACCGAGGCATGCCAGCCTTTTCCCTGGCGTCAGAGTTTTGACTCAGGCCCATATGCTTGGACCTAGAGTGGTTGGCGGCGGCATGGGTGCTTGTCGAACGAGACGGAACCCGCGTCCTCGAGGTTGGGCGAGACGGAGCCCGCGACCTTGGGCGAGACAGAAACCGTGTCCTTGGGGTCGGGCGAGACGAAGCCCGCACCCAAAGGGTCGGGCGAGATGGAGCCCGCGACCTCGAGGTCGGGCGAGATGGAGCCCGTGGCCTTGGGCGAGATGGAATCCACGTCCTAAGGGTCGGGTGAGACGGAGCCCGTACCCAAGGGGTCGGACGAGTCGACGTCGAGAGACGTCGGTGAAAGATGTTGGCGAAGGCCGCCGAGCGGTGACGATGAGTCGACGGCGAGGGACGTCGGCGAAAGATGCCGGCGAAGGCCGCCGAGCGGTGACGACGAGTCGACGTCGAGAGACGTTAGCAAACGATGTCAGCGAAGGCCGCCGAGCGGTGACGACGAGTCAACGGCGAGGGACGTCGGTGAAGGCCGCCGAGCGGTGACGACGAGTCGACGGCGAGGGACGTCGGCGAAAGATGTCGGCGAGGGCTGTCGGTGAAGGCCGTCGAGGGCAGTGGCGGTGAGTCATCGACGAGGGCAGCGGCGGCGAGTCATCGACGAGGGCTGACGAGAGCATCGGTGGCGAGTTGTTGGTTCCAAGATCGGATCTGCTGTCGTAGGGGCTGGTGTAGCAGCGATGAATCGTCGTCGTGGACCGGGATGGATCTCCATGAGATTGACGACGAGAACGCATTGTTGATTTGAGATCCATCTGGCTCGCCATGGATCAAGCGCACACCCCTACCTGGCGCGCCAACTATCGACAGAATATCGTCGACAGTCCACCGAGGGGTATCCCGCGATGGTAGATTTGTCGGTGGGGATGCACGTAATCAGGAACCAGATGGTGACACAAGGCGCAGAGACAACGATTTAGACAGGTTCGGGCCGTCTGATCGACGTAATACCCTACGTCCTGTGTCTTTGGTGTATTGTATTGAATACATGATGTCGAGTAGAGGACCCCTGCCTCTCCTTATATACTCTGGAGGGGCAGGGTTACAAGTAAAGTATCCTATTTGGTACTATACAATGTCTTGCGGTGCACACCGAGCAGCGCCGTGCACGCCTTGATCTTGTGGGCCGGGCCACCTCCGATGGTGCGACCCATGTCTTGGGGGCCATACCCCCACAGCTACCCATTTCAGGTAAGCACCTATGCTACTTCCAATCATGTGATAAGCAATCAGAACTATTTTACCATCTTGCATATTCCAGTTCTTACTACGGTGCTAGACCATAGCCAAGTTGGTACCATCTCACAGAAACGGCCATTCGCGAACCAATGTATCCCAGCTGGGTACCTCGAAACACACGCCTGATTTGTACCTCAGGCACAAACAAGATCAACCCATTCCACTCCTGTCAAGGGGTCTAGGTCCCCTCCAAACTTGGACTCCAAGCCCCCCACACTTGAGACCCGATCTCAGCATGGTGCTTAGACCTCTACCATTCCCCGCCTCCAATCAATCAGTCCAGAAAGAGCCAGAACCCATGACAAGAGAGTAACAAGTCTTTCCGCTCTCATAAGCAAGTATGTGCTTAGGATAATAAGCCTGTGACCTGAGTACCATCCACAGCAACGGACGATCCTCAATCGACATAGGTGGGACAAATGCAACCAGAGCCTCGCTCGGTTGCCTAACCAAGTCCAAATCCAAATCCAAAACACAGTCCCACCCGGTCTCCAATTATCATCCATATATATTCCATGTGATAGTTATATGATAATAAGAAAAATAATATCTTTCCTATCTCTCGCGAGTGACAGGTAATCACTCGACTTCTATCGGAATCCTTTAGCATAGCAATCTACATGATCCTAACATACTAGTAGGACTCATAGGATAAGGATATATATGCAAATGGTTTTCATTCAACTCCTTAAAACTTAATGCACAAGCATAAAATAAAAGTGCAGAATAATATGGGTTATGCACCGGGGCTTGCCTGGGCAAGTTATAACCAAGGATTAGCATTCCATCAGGACGACACGATCACAAAGGCTCCATCTTTTCTGCTTTTCTGGTCGATTCCATGATCCATCGTTGTCCCTATTATGATATACGTAGACGCAACACAGAAAACATAATTAACCAACGACAACTGCATCTCTAAGAATACGATTACGCCTTGTAGGCTAACGAGCTAGCTCTAATAACTAACATACTAGTCTACGTATCCACATTATTAAGTAAGGCTTAATTTCTAGAAAATGTTTTAGTTCTACGATCCCAAGGTGTTTCGGCATTTTATTGATTAAATATATTTTTTTGAAGTAGGGCTCATTTAGTTACCCTAGCAAACTAATTATTATGGAGCTACAAAAATTATGGTGAACACCTAATAATGTTAGGAATTTACTATGAAATTTTTAGAGCCAACACTATCACCAATTTATTACAAAAAATTCCTACTAAGTTTGTATCTTAACAATATTAAGCATCTCAATTTAATTAGATAACTCCTAAAAATACTATGAAACTATGTGAACAAGATATACTAGCAGATAGATAAAGATTTTAGGAACTTAACAAAATTAGTTTCACAATTCTTGGTCAACTACACAAATTTATATTGAATTTACAAGTTTTCCTTAGAAAATAAATTAGAAAATTGCTTTAGGAAAAGGAAAAGGCCGGTGGCAACTAATTTGGCCCAAAAGCCCAGCGCAGGGTGTGACTGCGTGCGCGTCGCTACGGCCCATCATGGCCCAAGACAGGGAGACCACGCGGGCGTGCTCATTTTGCAAAAGAGGACTCGTATTTTTAGGCAATCAAGCGGTGCAGCAAAACACTATTACAATAGATTCAACTTTTGCACTTAGGACCCTAGAATGTGTCGTCTTCACAACGGGGTGGTCCCCGGCGTCCCCGCACACGATGGCGCGGCTCTGGCCGGCACAGCACGGCCACGCTGGCCTACCGAGGGCCAAATCAGTGTGTCCATCAGGCTGACTTGGACGCACGGGCCAACGCGCAATGGTGAGAGGCAGCGAAAAGTCCAACGGTGTGCTACTCAACCCTAGCCTCGACGACGGTGGATCCGTACGGTGGCGCGAGAGTTCCGGCGAGCCTACGCCTTCACGAAAAGGTAGAGATGGCGGAGAAACATCAGTACCTCACCGTGGTGTACGCTATAGTGA